TAACCCCTAACCCCTAACCCAGTCCTTATGCAGTATTCTATCTACTCCAGATAGACATATTATATATCAATAGAAAGGGAATTGCATGGTCTTTCAGACGTAGCCAATAGTTTTCATTTTTGGCAAGCTGTCTTGAAGTTATAGTTAATAAAAACAGAAACAAAGACAGAAGTCTCACTTTTCGAACTGTCACAAAAAATGGGGGAAAAGTGTTTGAGGATAGTTAACAATTATTTCATGGAGAAGTGCAGTCAGTTGTGCATGTGTCAAATGGTACACCGTTATAAAATAAAGAAATGAGGGCCATTCTAGTACATTCTACAACTCCTAGTTATTGCCCTTAAATCTGGAAATTTCATATCACGACTTTTTGCTCTCGATCCTCCTGCAATAATCTATCTGTTCCAGATGGATATACTATAAATTATACCAATAGAAAGGAAATTAGAGGGCGCTCTTATGACCTTATGCAGTTGCGAGTGCCGTAAAACCTTCTACTGTAATAATAATAATAATAATAATAATAATAATAATAATAATAATAATAATAATAATAATAATATTTAAAAAACCTACCCAATTAATATTGTTTGTCAAACTTTTTTAAGGTGTGATATTTCGTGTTTTTGTGTCATTAAAAGTAGATGCAGTAACAGAAATTGGACTTCGTTTGAAAAAATAAAGAAATGAGGGCAGTTCTCGTGCATTCTACAAATTATCGGTTACTTCCCTTGAAAATAGACCTCTCAGAGGGAGAATTTTATAATAAAACCGTCATGGAAAAGAGCATTCAGTTCTGCATTTATATGTAGTTCAAAAATAGCCCTTACGGCCGAGGGAGACAGGGGAGTAGCCTAAAATAATATGCAACTGAATTCACAGACCCCCTTCTTTGTTAAAAGCCTAGCATGACAGCATCCCTGAGCTTCGCTGTGGCATACAAGTTTCTCTCAGTATCGTTTATTCATGCTGTTCTGTTCTGTAATAATTTATGGCTGTGTGAATTCATCAATGTGTTCGAGGGTGTCTGGGTAAGCTTTGTGGGATTGTCTTTACTCAAGGATGTGCTGGAGAGAGAGAGAGAGAGAGAGAGAGAGAGAGAGAGAGAGAGAGAGAGAGAGAGAGGATTACTATAGGAGCTGTGCGCTTCATATTATGTTCTTTGTATTATTGTACATCGCATTGAGCACTTCTTTGTGGAAATGCGCTATATAAATGCAATTTATTATTATTATTATTATTAATATTATTATTATTATTATTATTATTATTATTATTATCATTATTATTATACGCTGGGCGATACATGAAACAATGCACTGTTGTTATAAGAGCAACGCCACGAGTGACACCTCTGTGTTACTGTAAACCCTCTCTGGTTGATCAAAGCCACGCTGTCTACAGTCTAGTTTTTCAAGCCTCCACCATGTCAAAATAACCTTCTTTGCATTGCGTCCCAATAAACAACCCACACCTTGCTTTACATGCACATCTCGTCATCACTTTTTTAATGTTATGCAACAGATTGTATTCTTTCAGTACTCGTTTTTAACGGCTACTGAAGAGCTGTATATTTGTTATTCTGGTTAATTGCTGGCTGTTTAACCCTTTCCTCATAAGCATATTTCATATCTGATACGGTACCTACCGGCTGAGTGGTTCACACCTGTACATTTAAATATGCAAATCAGTGCAAAATAATGCATTCGGCAATACGTTTCGTTTTAGTAAGCGTTTTATAGCAATTGCAACACAATTTTGTTACAAGTGAAGAAGATTAGAGGTGTGTTACAAGAGAGCTGGCGTGGTCTACCTCTGCCTCTTTTTCCACCAAACTTGCCCGTTGATAGAATGTTCTCCAATGCTTCTTCCCGCATTGTGTATCCAATGAACTTTGTTTGTCGCTTTCGTATATTCTTCATAAGCTGTCGTCTGCAATTTGCTTCAAACAAGACTTTTTCATTTGTTTTTCGTGCTCTCCATGGGATACGCAGCATACGTCTTATAAACCACATCTCTGTCGCCTCAAACGTTTTTCCCCCACCAAAGCAACCGCCAGAAATCCACAGGCTATGTAATCTTGTACGGCTATGCCAGTGCTTGGTTGTGTTGATGTCATTTATTTATAAGGCCAGCCTTTTCCCGCAATTTTTGCTAGTTCGTCTGGGTTTTTAAAAATTGCATTTCTTCATTGTGATACATGTTTAGCGAATGTTAGTTGGGATTATTTCCCACATCAACATATCTGATCTTTCTTTCTATAAATTCTATAAAAAGTTTACGGGTGTGAACCACCCAGCCAGCATTTCCTTACACAAAAATGTATGGGTGGGCAACACTCACCCGGTAGGAAATGCCACAAATATTTTTGAAAAGATGCCATCTACCACACATTCACTATATGAATATTGTTGATAGATCCCAGCGTTAAATACACCACATTTGAGGATTACAGAGAAGCAAAAGTGTGTGCATTAAGCACATTCGGAGTTCTGTCCTTACAAAGTGGTCAGATGTGTGTAGTACACCCAGCGGTGGGGAAAGGGTTGATGTTCAATTTTTATTTATTTATTTTTTTGTGGGGGGGGGGGGTTATTGAATTTTCTTCTGCTCATCTCTTCTGATTCTCAGATATTTCTGTTTGTTATTGCGGGGTTTTTTTTGTTGCTGCTGACTTTTTTTCTTAATTTCTACAGTGTTTCCAATAAGATCTGAAATTGCTGTTATCAGCAATTTTTTGGGGAAGATTTATGCATGAATGGTGTTTATTATAATATAGTTCTGCAGATGAAGGTATGTAAAAGTCTGTTAATTTAGCGAAACTTAACATTTTTTTCCATGATGTACTATTTAAAAAGCATTTTGTTTCTCTCTACAGACACATCCAGGTGTAGCTGACTGCGCAAATATGGCGACGTCGATTCAAGAGGTGGACTTGTCCGACAAAAGACTACAGGAGATCCTCAGTGTAACAAATGACTGGGCACTTTGCAACGGTACAGTCTTGTCAAAGTTGTGAAATGTTACAGGGATGTGTACAGGAATGAGTTAGATCCTCTCCTATCTTCGGGTTTGTTTGTTTTTTTGTTGTTGTTTTTTTGTTTTTTTAATTATTTACTTATGTTAATAATGAATTTCTGTTGATAATGGATTACATTTATTTAGCACGTTTCCATTTTGTGAATCCTTGTACTGGCATCATTTTATAGTAAAATGTTCATGGGCACTCCAAAAACCTAGGTTTCCTTATTCATTCCCCGGAATTTGCAATTGTCTTCGGAGAGCAATTGACGTATTGCCTTGTAGATTCAAATGATATATTCTTTATTATGTTTTTATTATGTTTTTTATACCCCCCCCCCCCCCTTTCCACCCTCCGCAGCATTTAAACAGCTCTTATGATATAATAACGCTTATTACATTTTGTGATTGAGAGACCTAAAGTACAATGTATTTTAAAAAATAAAACCGTTGAGTATATTTATTGCTAACAATTTTATCAAAATCAAAATTAATTTTGTATGGGTGCTTGCTCATTTACAAAGGTTCTGAAACTTAATGATGGGGATGTTAAAAACCGCGATAGCTTCAATTCCATGAAATGTAAACTGTGATATGGTGAAGGAATACTTTAGATTTTCAAACACCGTCTTGATGTCAATATTCTGTGCTCTTCTAATTCTTGAGAAAGAAATTTAGTACATCTAACTAAGAGTAAGTTAGTGACTGAACCCACAAAGGCCTCATTTCTTACAATTATCTGTTTTACTGAAGTCACAAAACGTATATTGGTATTTTTTTCAGGGATCAGTATAGGGTCTGGTGCAGATGGAGTTGAATCAGAAAAAGTCCTCCCAGCTCCCTACTCTCTGTTTCCCAGCGTTGTTCCGGCTCCTATCTTAGAGCACGTGAAGTCTACCATGACTCACTTCAACCGGCTCATGCACAAAGTTTCTATGGACCACGAGTTTTTAGAACAGTCTTTGAAAAAGTAAGTAGTGCAGTGGGATAGCTTATTGATTGTCCATCTTAAGAATTGGTATATACAATAGATTGGGTTTCACGTCCATTTTTGTAAGTTAATTTAGAGCCCGGACCGTTTATATAATGTAAGTCTCTGATAGGATAACCACAGTGGAATACTTTGAAAACTCCTCAAACAACTCAAGTTAGAGAATGACACTTTGTAGATTCAAACCAGGGCCATCCGAACCATAGTCCAGTGTGATACCAAATTAGGTTTCAGCAGGTTCCGAAATCAAGTAAAGAGCCTGTAGAAACACTGTGTGGGTTAAGGAAAAGTATTATACAATGTTGTCCCCCAACCAGGACAGTGCTACTGACTGAAGTTGTCTTAAGGCAATTCCATGTTCTTATACACAGTAGAAGTGTTAAAGGGGTGATTTGTCAATGTCATGCTCATACTGTGCCGGAACAACATAGGGCGAACTGCTTCTTTTTCTTTCCTCATCCTTTCTATCGTAATATTTGCCTCTACTTTTTTTGTATGTTCATCCATCTCTTGTGAACTGCTATTTCCGTGGTGGCTTGATAGTCGAAGCATATTTTGTGCTATTGAGGCTAGAGCTGTGAGTAGAGTGAGCCTGATTCCCCGTTTGGACTTCTCTGTTGACATCCACCCCTTGGCGCTCATATGACCGTTTGCAGCTGCGAGCGCCGTAGAACCTTACTAAAACTAAACTATACCTTGTTGAGTTGAATGTTCAAGCAGTAGCATCTGTTGCAGTACAATCTGCTTTTGAGTGTGTGACAGGTTTCCTTCCATGCTATTGTGGCTATGAAAGAAAAAGGCCTCTCTTTAGTGTTTTGTCGGGGAAAAAATGTTGGATCTTCTGATTTCATTCACCTTCACCTTCACCTGTCCCGTAGACTGGGTGTCCGTCGGCACGGTTTTTCGTTGTTGTTGAGGATTTTGCCACCAGCTTCCTCAACTCCTTCCAATCTTCAGCTTTCCTGAGGGTGTCTTTGGGTGCAGGCCTGTCCATTCCTTGAGGTTGTCCTCCCAACCATTCTTCTGTCTGCCTCTGCTCTGCTCCTTTTCCCCTAGACCAGACTTGCAGGATCATCTTGGCAAGGCCAGATGAACGGGTGATGTGTCCATACCATTGCAATTTGCGTTTCCTGACCAGAGTGAGAAGGTCAGCATATGGTCCAATTGTTTAGAAGTATCTCCACAGCTTTGATCCTTCTTTCAAGGTCTGCTTTCAAAGTCCAGGATTTACATTCATACAGAAATATTGATTTGAACAGGGAACGATCTGATGGTGATATTTCCGTCGGTCCAGATGGTATTCAACTTGATCATTGCCCCTGAAGTTTGCGCTAATTCATAAAAAAGAGATTTTTAGTAAGCCTTCCTTTTAGATTTGCTCAAATGATTCTTTTTTTGGCTGTAAATTGAAGACTTATAATATTCATTTACTTTTATGCATTGATGTTTTGAAATTTTGTATTTACTAACTTGCAAGAATTCTGTTGCTGTATAAAAATAGAAGCACTAAATTATGGTGTCGGGAATACTATGCTGGATTTAATTTAAAAATCATTTGATCTTTCTACATCGAACTAAGAGGTATGAAAAGCAAAGATGTGCGACGGAAGTACAGTTTCACTAGTCCTGCTCATTTTGGACTCCAAAGAACTTATATTTTACTCGTGCCAACTCAATAAGCTTATATTTTCCCATTTCTATATTCAAGCTGATGGAGAACGTTTATAATTACCAGAGGATTGAAAATTCAGGGATTGGGGGGGGGAGAGGGATGGCTTCTCCATATTAATTATGTTAATCTTGTGTTTTTCCTCGTGTCCACAGTGTGATTCAAGTAGACCCTTTCATGCAGAGCTTTTGGGAGGTCTACTGTAAAGTCAGGGAGTCGGGGATCAAGCAGGTAACTAAGAATATCGATTAAGTGAATTCCACTTCCATTGATCTGCTTTGGGAAATGTGATTTACAATGGCATACATCGGTAAATAATTACCACTGTTGTATTTATGAAGCAGTACCTCTAGCTATAATAATATCATCTATCTCTGACAGACCGATGCCTGTGGTGGGTTTGTTAAGGGCTTCAATGAAGCAAAAGAAATTTGATTGGTCTCTGCTTTGGGAGAATTTTTATCGAGTATCTCATTCTTTCTGGTAGAACGTTGTGACCCTCTCAACTTGCATTGTCCCTGAAAGACAGAGCTTAAGCAGCCCGCAGCCCATGTCCCAAGTGATCTAAATAGTGTTGATTGGGGGGGGGGGTCGTTAAAACTGTTACAATTAGGCCAACAGGTCCTATAGGATGGGGACAAGCGCATATAGGTCTATTGTCATACATCTATGGATCCACATTTTGCATGATGAGGGTAGTGAAATAAAATTTAATTCGTTGTTTGTTTCTGAACTTTAAAGGTTTGTTTATAGTTATTCCATTTTACAGGTGTGCCAATCTTTCAATATATGTGTATGTATTGCCACTTAAAAAGGGAGAAGCTGTGTCATTTCGGCAGGTTTTGGGATCAGGTATTGACTTTTGGAAGTCGGCCTACATATACATGATGTTCTGTCAGTAAGATTACTCTTTCTCTGATTCCCTGTATTTATGGGATGGAATGTAAAATCAATCGAGAGTATCAAAACAAGGCTATAAAATCTCCCGCATCCTTGTTTTTACCAGTCTCTCTAACTTTTTAAATGCTCAAATTGCGCTTAACAACGCGCTCTACAGTGAACTGGAAATATTTCTGTGTGCACGATCTATGATTTTTGGAAATTATAAATCTATGGATTTGACAAATGAAACTCCAGCAAGGAAAAGAAAAGTCAGCTTTTTGTTTCTTTAAAGTATGAAAATACACTCTCAATGGCTTGCTGGTAAGTTGTTAGGATAGAATGGAATTAGTTAGATCGGGTGTGTGATCTTTGGGCTGTTAGTTTGGTTTATATTTTCTTGTAGTTTTGTAGTAGAACAGTTTGTTTATTTGTTGTATTTTGAAGGAGTTATACGGTTTTCATGTTCTCTATTTTAACATCTGTTCTCAGCCGCTACATCTTGGCTTGTTCCGAAATGACTTCATGATGAACTGTCTAGATGATAGCGTATGTCCTAATCAGATTGTCAGCACTGACCGGCAAGAACTCAAGCAGATTGAGTTCAATACTGTCTCTGCAAGTTGTGGGGGAATCGCAGGCCAGATGGCAGATTTGCACAGGTAATAATAACTATCATAATCATAATTATAATCAAAATCATAATCGTAATCAAAATCACAATAGTAATCCAAATTATAATCGTAATCATAACAACAATCATAATCTTTATCGTAATCATATTCATAATCATGATCAAAATCATAATGGACAGCAATTGGTATAGCCCAAATTCCTGCTCAACAGCAGGTTCTATGCGCTTTACAATTTATACTACATTCTCAGCAGACCTGATAGAATTCTGAAACAATCTCGACTTTCTCGGAAGTATATTGGAGGCTACCATTCTACAGGCGCCAAAATGCTTTAAGATACTGACATCTTTTCCTGTCTGTGGCCCGGTACGCATTCTCTCCTGGATGAAGTGAGGAAAATTCGTTTAAAGTACCTTTCCCAAGGACAAGAAGTCGGGCCTGAGACTCGAACCCCCGAACCCACAATCTAAAGTGGATTACGAGTCCGGTAGCCTAACTACAAGACCACTGGCGATGAAATGAATTAATAGTATAAAACATTTTTTTTCTTCGGACTCTGCTATCTTTGCGTGCAGCTGCAGACAGATTGTGAGGTCTAATTGCTCTCACTCTCTCTCTCTCCCTCTCTCACTCTATCTCTCTCTCTCTCTCTCTCTCTCTCTCTCTCTCTCTCTCTCTCTCTCTCTCAGTCTCTGTCTCTGTCTCTCTCTGTCTCTCTTTATCTCTCTCTCTCTCTCCCTCTCTCTCTCCCCCCCTCTCTCTCTCTCTCCCTCTCTCACTCTATCTCTCTCTCTTCCTCTCTCTCTCTCTCTCTCTCTCTCTCTCTCTCTTTCTCCCCACCCCCTCTCTCTCCCTCTCCCCCTCTCTCTCTCTGTACGACGGTATAATGTTTTTGCATTCATTTTGAAAAAAGTAGGTTTTATGTAGTTAATGAAAGAAAAGTAGTATTTGTCATAAAGAGGTATTTTTGTTTGGTTTTATTTAAAACATTTCTCTTTTTTTACAGACTGTCTCTTGGAATGGCTGGGAAAGACTTGAAACCAGAACAGGTTAGTCCTTTCTTATACATTTCCGCAAAGTTATTTTTATACTTTTCTATTTTTTTAGTTAAGTTTCCACAACAGTTGAAATGTATATTCTAGAAGACGTTCTGGAAGATATTTCTGAATGCACATTTATTTCATTGTCTTTTTTATGTTTGCGTTTCTTTATCACGCATTTGAAAAGGATTGTTTTGTTGTTGCTGTTGTTGTTGTTGTTGTTGTTGTTGTTGTTTCTTTGTTTGTTTGTTTGTATGTTTAGCTTATTGTAATTTCAGATATTTTCTTATTGATAAGGGGTAGATTTTTATACACTTTACTTCGCTGAAACTGATGCTTGAATACCAGATAACTGGTCACATGATCTAGTCTAATTAAAACTTTGGCTTGATTTTGCCTGAACAATCACATGTGATTCACAATATGGGAAAGTACGTGTTATGTTTTATGGTAGAATACGACGAATTGTGTTAAATGTAATGGGATTTCCGTTTCACAGTGTGAGAAAGTTATGTACAGACGGTTGTGTAAATCTAGAGATAGCATTTTTGCTTCTTCATGCATGAACTTAGGTTTTTTTAGATTTGGTCTCTCAGATGAATGAGTAGGGGATAAGAATAAAGGACACTTTAGAGTATATATTATTATGTAAAACACTGGTTCACTGTATGCCGAATGTGAAAGGAGATTCGTGGGCCTGTAGTGAATGAAAGTGTTCTGTGACTTTTTTCAAGTGAATGTTTAGTCAAATTAACTCAAGTACAAACTTAACCGTACTATAAACAGCTTCCTGACAACAAGCCTGCTGTGGGACTTGCCGACGGTTTGGTTAAAGCGTGGGAACTCTACGGAAATCCCAGGTACAGAGTGACACATTTGATGCCAGCAAGCCTATAGTGTGGTAATCTAGTTAACTTTTGGAACTGGTGGAGAGTGAGAAATTGATGCTTTCAGGCCCATAGTTTGGTAATTTAGAGAGCATTTTGAACTCTGGCAGAGAGCGAGACATTTGAGGCTTGCAAGCTGATAGTTTAGCTTGTGATTCAGTATACATTTTGATCAGGTAGAGAGTGAGATGTCTAATTTTTATAAGCCCATAGTTTTGTCACATACTTAGAATTTAGAACCTGTGTCCAGGTCCAGATGATTTGCCCTGTGTTGATTTTTATGCACGAGGTTACTATTTCTTTATTTGCATTCTGAGTGAGAAAATTGTCGGCGTGATCTTGAAAGACTTTTTGTTCGTTTTGTTTTGAGTCAATTTATAGAAAAAGGACTGCAGAAAATCATCTCTTTTAATCAACCTAATCTTTTTGAGCTGAAGAATATAAATATCCTTTAAATTAAGGCTAGATATCTGACTGAATTTTTGCTGTCTCTTTCTTTGAATAGATATTTTTTTCAGTCTTCATTCGCACTGGTTGACAACTAGCAACCATGTTACCCGAAGTTATATTTTTCATGATTTTTTAAAATTTAGTTTTGTCTTCATTTTTCTGGTTGACAATTGAAATCATTCCACTCAAAGTTAGTTGAAAAACAACTTGTGTGACTATTATTATTCCACAGAGCTGTAATCATATTTGTAGTGAGTACCTCGGAGCGAAATGTCATAGATCAAAGATGGGTGGAATTCAAAGTTTACGACAGGAACCCTAATATCCGGATTCTACGCAAGACTTTCTTGGACATTTATAACCACGGCTATTTGGATGACCACAGCAGACTCATCATGTAGGTAGAAATTATGTTTTGTTTAGTTTAGTAAGAGTTTTACAGCGCTCGCAACTGCATAGGGTCATATTATGAGCGCGTGAAACACAAGTTAGGTTGCATTCACAACAGTTCACAGTACGCTTGGTTTTGGTCAATAAGTAGGTTAATTGCTTTAAAAATAGATGAGGAGTCCACTGAAAAAAACGGGCGTAGTCACAATCTGAAAATGGCGAGAGTACCAATTTTGAACGCTTGTTGGCTCATAACTGTATTTCTGTTCAGCTGTTGGTTGATTATTGTTGTTAGATTTACCATCCAACAAACATATAAAATAAACCACCAAACAAACAAATATAAAGTTATGAGTCCACAAGCTTTTAACATCGACACCCTCACAATTTCCAGTTTGTGACTATGCCCGTTTTTTTTCAGTGGAGTCTTCAGATATCCTGTAACAGTTTTTGCTTAAATTTAAACTGCTTTGTATTTTATATCCATTTCCTTTTAGTGGTGTCTAGCTGGCAGGATACTTCGTATTGTTGATAGTAATTTTGTTGTTGGGACAATCATCAAATATCTTTAGTGTTGAATAGAATTTGTTACTTTCCATATGAAAAACTCAAAAGTTCGAAGCCCTCAGATACCCCTTTCAGAATCAGTTTTACTTTTCCATTTGAAATATTCTTGCTTTCATCGAAATTATAGGATGATTCAGTCTTGAGTGCTACTTTTAATCTTACTATTTGGTATACAAGCATTGGCCACACATGCTTTTATTAGATTATTGTATGTATGATGCACCTTTTTGCTGACTTTATTCGTAACAATTAATTGTTCGAGGTAATATTTTAATCATTGCTTTTTATTTATATCTCGTCTACCAGAGATGGTGATGAAGTAGCACTGATTTACTTGAGGGATGGATACACAGCAGAAAACTACACTTCTCAAAAGGTCAGCCAGGATCTTATTCTATTAAGCTTTTAGTCTTGGATTTAGTCTTGATAAGAGATACCCGCATGTTATGGTGTTTTACACATTTCCCTTAGAGCTGGCTGCTCAAAGTGGCTAACCGGAAGCTCACTTTACCTATTTATCTCCACTTCATGGGGCTGTCTTACATATCCCTTTTCCCCATTTTTACTTCTCACAATCCTCTCCATGCACATTCTACATCCACACATGTTTCATGTTTGTTTTCTGAGATTAACAGTAATCTGTGGGGTCAACAGCCCATTTTGGCAAATATTTAAAAGTTTTAATTGTTTTGTTTTTTAATGAACACACCTTGAATGAATGGATGGATGGATGAATAGATGGATGCCTGCCTGCCTGCCTGCCTGCCTGCCTGCCTGTGCTATTATAACCAAATTCACCCCCCCCCCCCCCCCTTGGAATTCTATTATCTTCATTATTTATTTCACATCGTTCATATTGTCTTCCTTAGTTGGTATAATGTTCCCTATTTGTCTTTCCTAGGAATGGGACGCCCGGCTGAAATGTGAACTGTCTCGTGCCATCAAATGTCCCTCTGTACAGCTTCAGCTGACCGGGGCCAAGAAAATCCAACAAGAGCTGACTCGGCCCGGGGCTCTGGAACGTTTTGTCTCTGACCCACAGGTGGTCAACACACTGAGGGACACCTTTGCTGACCAGTACAGTCTGGACCTGGTACATTTCTCATTCGTCATTCTATTCTTGGACTTGTTTATAATAAAGATAATAATAAATAGCATTTGTATAATGCATATTTGTCTATAATAGTAATAATAATAAACAGAATTACAATAAATTTGTCTAGCCACTGAATCTTTATTATAATGGTAATTAAATGCATGAGCTCAGGGCCAGTACGTTTATCTGATACAGCATACTCAGAACATCATTCCTTTAAATATTGCGAGGAACACATCATAGCGCTTCCTGCAATAGGGAAAATAGAACTAGTTGAAACGATTTACTTATTATGTATTTTACGCCTTATAAACCCTCCCAGCAGTCGTTAACTGTCTACACTGGATATATAAATGAGAGACCTGCAGTGTTTGAAAATTTGTGTATGTTAATGACATGCTGAATTAAACATTTTATGTGTGCGCTTACTTAATAGACTTCGCTGCTTTTCCTATTGTCAGTCCCCTCCCCCCAAGAAAAACAAACAAACAAACAAACAAACAAAAAAAGCAACATGTGATGTACAGAGCCCGCAGAATGTTAGCCGCGATAATAATATAGCAAGGTAATAGTGTATTTCGTTTTATTTCATAAAGATTATTAATATTAGTGGACCAATGTCTACAAACAAGATGGTTTCTATCCAACCTTTGATGGATCCTGGAGAGGAAGGGGGGGGGGCAGCTATGGCATTGTACCGCCTGTGGTGATACCCTTTCTCCAGTCGAGTAATTAAGTAAACAGGTTTATAAAGAGAAGTCTTATCTGGATTGTCTTTTCAGAACCAAGAAGGGGATGCTGCCGTGAAGCTCGCCTTGCTGTCTCCAGAGAAATTTGTCTTGAAACCCCAACGCGAAGGTGGAGGTGAGTAGTTCTTTGATCATCTTTCTCTTCTTCCTCCTGTATCTGATATATTTGGAGGGTTTTTCAACATTTAGTAGTAGTAATTTTGATTGATTTTGGAAAAATACGTAATATCCGCCATAGTACTCAAAGATTTGCTTGTATCACACAGCGTACCTTTACGACAGTAACAAAAACAAAAACAAAAAGAAAAGAAAAAGAAAGTGGTCTGGGGTTGTTAACACACATTGACAAGATTTCTTTGATTTTCTCACTGTCTATTCATCTCTGTGCCAATCCTCAGGTAACAACTTGTACAATGAGGACATCACCACTTTCTTCAAGGAGCACAATGGCTCCAAAGAGCGGAGTGCGTACATTTTGATGCAGAGAATTTTCCCATGGCAACAGAAGAACTATCTTGTCAAGCCTGGAGTCCCTTTTGCTTTGTCCGATGTCGTCAGTGAGCTGGGCGTATATGGAGTATACATTGGGTAAGAATTACATCGTTTTTGTTGGTTTCTTTTTGTCATAGCCAAATGGCCAGATAGTTGCCAGCGCCTGTGGTGTAATGGTTGTCAGGCTCATTGCCACTGTGCACAGAAAATATCGATTAACATTTTATTGCCACATTAGAAAGTTATTTTCTCTCGGATACCTCTCCCGCATGGGAGAGTTACATGTATTTCTATTTACTCCGAATGCTTCAAAACATATGCAGTAGAAGTTTGAGAATACACCCATTCGATTTAGCATATTATAATTTCCAACGGAATCTCAAAACTGTTGTTTGACTCAAAATGGTATCCCCAAAGCCTGTGTGTGGACTTACTGACCCACAGTGTTTAATAAGGGGGTGTTGAACTTATACCATATGAAGGATTTCCTTTGCTGTTCCACAGATCTGCTGATTCGGAGGTCGTGAACTTTGAATGTGGTTACCTAATGAGGACGAAGAACCAGGGCAGTGATGAGGGAGGCATTTTTGCTGGCTTCGCAGTTTGGGACAATCCTCTGGTCATCTAGATAATGGTTCATCTTGTAGACTTGTCATTTGGAAAAGTGGCTACAAATGTAAACGTTTTACAGAACAGAAGTTGTTTGAGTTGACAATAATATATCTGTATGTTGAAAACTACTTTTAGCTTGATCTGAAATATCTTAATATCCGTTACAAAATGTGTTTGTGATACGATGTTATAGATTAAATCATAGCAATTGTTTGGGGATGCCCTAGGGATAGGAAGTCTGTGTTCTTGGACGTTCTCAAACCAGAGTTTTCCACGGGTGGTTGGCAGGTGCTCTGTTGTGGTTGGCTTCTTCTTTCCCGCAAAGCATCTATCGTCCTTATCTCTCCTCCTTCTTTTTGTATGGCTGTTACTCTCTTGTAACACCTTTAACCTTCGGCTCTTACATTATGACCTTATTCTCTTGCAAGTGCCGTAAAACTCTTACATACTATAACTATATTAAAGATTTGTCCTATTCTCTCCTCATAACCCATTTATTCGCGGTCTCTCAGTATGTTGTTCTTGGTATTAGTTCTAATTAAAGTTTCACGGCACTTGCAACACTATAAGGTCATATGAGTGCCGACAATTAGAAGTGTTACTAGAGAGTAACAAATATAAAAGAGAAGGAGGAGAGATCAATCAGGACGATAGGAGTTTGAAAGGAAAGAAGGAGGAGAGATCAATCAGGACGATAGGAGTTTGATAGGAAAGAAGGAGGAGAGATCAATCAGGACGATAGGAGTTTGATAGGAAAGAAGGAGGAGAGATCAATCAGGACGATAGGAGTTTGATAGGAAAGAAGGAGGAGAGATCAATCAGGACGATAGGAGTTTGATAGGAAAGAAGGAGGAGAGATCAATCAGGACGATAGGAGTTTGATAGGAAAGAAGGAGGAGAGATCAATCAGGACGATAGGAGTTTGATAGGAAAGAAGGAGGAGATATCAATCAGGACGATAGGAGTTTGATAGGAAAGAAGGAGGAGAGATCAATCAGGACGATAGGAGTTTGATAGGAAAGTAGGAGCAAACCACAGCAGAGAACCAACCAACCGCCCATTGTACTTGGTCTGCCCCTGTCAGTGTTAAGCAATTATTGTATATTATGTGTCTCAACGTCGTGGAATCAGGTGTGCATCAAATTTTGAAAATAGGTAGTAATTAGTATTATCTTAAAATTTGTTCATTGTCTTACTTTTGATGAAAAAAAAAAACCCCCGCCCATCTGTTATGAGTAGAAGTGGGGGAAATCTCTCTTTGCTCAAATTACTAAGATAATAATAATATATTTTGTTTCAAAGCTTTTTTTTAGATGCAGATATTTTTTTGTTTTTAATCACATTTATTGCAATTTAGGATACTTGGCCTGCACTTCCTTTTGAAATGATTTGAACATTTCCTCTCAGTATTGTTGTCTTGAGGTGAGTGAAAGATCATAAACTTTTCATTGTCATTTCAATTGTAATTTTTATTTTTTATTTTTGGTTTGTTTAGTTGAAGATTATCGTTGTCATAAGAAAATTTTATCCCAATTTGACTTTGCTCTATAAGAGGAGAAATATAGATGAAGAGGTGTAATTTTTATTTCGTGACAGCAACAACATAATGATACAATATGTAGTTCAGCAGTTAAACCTGTTATTTGTGTGTGTGGAGTTGTATTGTTTTGTTATGTCTTGTTTTTCTTTGGAAATAAAAAGAGTATTTCTAAGATCCAAAATTTTTACTTCATTCAATATTTTGTGAATTTTTGTCACATTTTTTTTGCGTGCTGTGGCGGAGTGGTTAGTGCGCTCGTCTCCGAAGCAGAAAGTCCGTGTTCGAGCCTCTGTTCGGACAAGGATTTTTTTCGCCACCTCCTGCCCTCCCAGAAGTAATGACTTCGAGTTGGGGAAGTAAAGGCGGCGTGGAAAGGAACTACTACTATTTGCCGAAGGCCTTGGAAGGTCTCACTAACATGGCAATCCCAAATGTCCGAATCTGATGCGGGAACAGCTTTACCTAAAAAGCTCGGAACTGTTTTTGCTTTGTGCTGGGAGAGGAGAAAAACTTCTTTATATGAGGGTGCTCTGGTGCGCTCCTTCTTTTCTATCAAACATCTAACGTCCTACTTCTTGTTTATGTATTTTGCATATCTCTCTCTCTCTCTCTCTCTCTCTCTCTCTCTCTCTCTCTCTCTCTCTCTCTCTCTCTCTCTCTCTCTCTCTCTCTCTCTCTCTCTCTCTGTGTGTGTGTGTGTGTGTGTGTGTGTGTGTGTGTGTGTGTGTGTGTGTGTGTGTGTGTGTGTCTCTGTCTCTCTTGGTAACAAAACTACCACAATCGGGTGGTCTCATGGTCTAAAGGTTCGATGTTCACCTCTCAATCAATAGATCCTGGTTTTGAAACCTGACAGCGACGGAACATTTTCATTTCAAATTTTGTCTCTTTTCGCGCCCTTTCCACATCTAACTATGTTCTGTCGTCTGCCTTCGTCTTCACTTTCTCCCCCACCCTGACCCTCTTTGCCCCCTCCTTAACCAAAAAGAAAAAAAATCACCATCAACCATGCTGAGCTGGCTGTATGGACGTTCTTGTTTTCGTACTTGTGGTGGTCGAGCCTTTTCCTCGGTTATTTCCCTTCATCTCCAGCCCTTGCTTCACGAGTTATGAGTCGTTCAGTCTCAGCTGCCCACACCTAAGAGCGAATCAGCGCGAAGTCCTCTGTTTGATTGCTTTGAAATTTTCCATATAATGTTAGATTTTACTGGACGTTACAGATTCTAAATTTTGTGGTTGAGAAACCTTTACAAGTTAGGTTCCGACAGGGTTCCTTTGATGTTCGCCGAAACTATGTCAGATTTATAATAGAAGTTTTACAATAGAAGTAACATACGATGACACGGAGAAAATGTCTGGTTTTCGTTGCAACACACCAACTTTTACAAAGCAGGGGCGGAACTCGTAGGAAATGTATGAATGACAAGAAAGTCACCAGGACCAAGGTGAACGAGTCCAGGCTGACGAGACAAGCAAAACGTAAATAACTTTCCAAGGGCATAAAAATAATATTTTGGTTACAATGGACAGCTAACACTTTTAAGTTTTAAAAAGATTAAAACATCACATGAAAAGGAAAGGAGTCATTGATCGTCCTCAGAATCGGACCCAAAGGGATTGATAACCATCTTTTTTTGAATAAATCCATGCCCGTCAGTTTTCCAATAATTGTTCTGTTCTGCCATGACGTGTTCAACACATTTCTTCCAGTAGTGTCTGTCTACGTCAAAAATAGATTCGTCGTCAATGTCTTATGATGTCTGCTATTTTGAAAGTCATATTTTTGTCAGCGGCATCGTGTTTAATCCTCCTTGGCCAAACCAACTCGATAAGGTTTAAATGGGAATGGTACGGTGGAAGTCTCAGGCTCGTGTGTCCATGAAAAGCTATGACTTTATCAATAGTATAGAGATCTTGGGTCGATTTAGACTTTTGACTATTTGCAAAAGTTCTGGTTTTAAAGCGGGCTCTTGGAACTCGATGCTGTTGGTACAAAGCCATTCTTTTATGTCGTCTCACCCAGGCCCCTCTTGTATGTTTCAACAGAGTACACGCCTTTAGATTATTATGACAGTGTGTTTTCAAGAGATTTGTGAGTGAGCTGTTTTCAATTCATCAATAACACCGGACTTGTCTGTGTCGAAAAAGTGGTAAAAAAATGACCAGCATGTCAGCGTGCTGTAAATACATGATTTTTTGTTTCCACTGGGGCTCGAGATAAATACAAAGCCCAAATAAGCTATCTCTTGGGGTAAACAAACCACGATTTTAGAAAAATAATTTTCGTAACGTCCAGGTCATTTCACTTTATTTGGCAAAATTTCAAATCGAAATATTGAGAACTGAGTGAGCAGGATTTTTCTAACCGTGGGCAATTGTGGCTTAACGACCTATAGATAAACCGATCGTTAGGCCTACACATTTTTTCACAATATCGTATCGCCTCTAAGCTGAAATGTGGGATGACTTACAGGACAAAGCACATTTGATTTTGAATGTACAACACCCAGTCACAACACCAGAGGAATCCTCATTCATGAAATAGATTCAATGAAGTATTTCATAATGATAAATGCTTGGGTGAGGGAGACAGTGACCTAAAAAGGTGTAACTATGCCACAATGAATAGAACAACAGAAAAGCCGCTTAAAATAAGGAAAAAACAAAAACAAGCATCAAACATAACGAAACAAAGCATCATATTAAACAGATTCTAGGCCTAATAATATGACGACATTTTAATCATAATAATTAGACTCTTAACTTCTGCAGAGGTAGATATAAATAAAAAGCTTCCCAGAATAAAGCAAAAATAGAACGATAATACGAAATAGCCTTACTCAAAGTCAATACAAAAAAGTACCAATGCACAAAAGAATTTTCAAAAAGAAGGAATACGTACGAGCGAACTTCACAAAACTAAACCAATAGATCTGAAAATCTCTTTCCTCAACCACTCTCCAGTAAAAACATCAATAATAATAATAATAATAATAGATAGCATTTGTATAGCGCATATCCCCGCTCAGCAACAGGCTCTATGCGCTTTACACTATATTATTACCCCAGCAGACCATAGAACACTCCGAAACATTCTCAGCTTCCCGGGAAGCATACAGTGCGAGCAGCCGATTAAGCGCCCA